GCAAGAAAAATAGAAAATATTCCATGCATTGGCTCTCAAAATAAACCACTGGGGATATAAAACTCATCCGCAAATATAGGAAATATAAGCTTCAGTTTTGTATGATGGCCAATGAACTGGGGACGAGAGGAGAAAGGGGAAATGGAGGAGAAGAAAGCAGGGAAAGGATGAGAGATGAGAGGGAGGGAGAACGTTGAAGGACGAGAGAGAGAGAAACACAACATTTCCAGAAGAGGAGACACAAAACGCAAGAGAGCACAGTACAGTGAGAGGTTGAGAATTCTCAAAAGGTTGTTATTTAAAGGTAAATCACTGTTGTCATACCTTCCTACCTACACGAGCATCTTAGAAACATGGCCAGTCAGAGCTGCAAGGACCTGAGCTCACCTTGACCAAGTCACCCTGCACTGGGTTGAATAGTGCTCCTCCCCAGCCCCCACCTAATTCATGATTACAGTGGGGTCTTGACTTACGAGTGACCTGACTGAGTGACCTGACTAACGAGTTTTTTGAGATACCAGCTGTCTCTCAGCCGATTTTTTGTATTGAGTTGACAGAGTAATTTGAGTTAACGAGCTCCTTAACGAGCTCGGTCTGGGAACGAATTAAACTAGTAACTCAAGGCCCCACTGTACCTGAAACTGTGGCAGGCAATGTGAGCAGAGCAAGGACAATGGGCCAGGTGCAGGTCACCAGAGTGAAAAGTCTCAGGTGCCTAGCAAAGGACAATTTGTCGGCCAGGACCTCACTCCCTGGGTGACCTCTCCTCCCTAGCATATCACTGGTCATGCAGCTTGGACCCCTGACCTTTCCTCCCTAGAGATAACATCTAGGCCTCAGTTGTATTTCCACTTGAGGCCCAGAAAAGCAGCCAAACCAGACAGGTGACACCAAGGCTGACCTCAGACCAGCTGCACTGGATAATGACCGCCTGCCCTGGCACGGACCAATCAATCAGTGGAGACCCTGACTCTGAAAGGACACCCCTGGAAAGTTGCTAAATATTATACTGAGATCTTCCCCTGGGACCTCCCCTAAAATCACCCTGATCGCCTATCCCTTTGGTATTTCAAAACAGTTGAGTAGCTTATTTTGAGAGAGGAAGGCTATTTTTCAACAGTGAAATCACCATTTATTTCTTGATCCGGAGCAGTTTTTTCAAGGCATGCCAAGTCCTGCTGGGGATTTTGGACTTAAAACTGTCCATGAGGCAGACCCCTTGATATGAAGTGAGTTAGCCACTCTTCGGGGGTTTCGACTGAGAAAATCCTATGCCGCACACATTAAGTTTTTCATTATTTTGTAGTTCTTCACTCTTTGTTGGATCGTGTCTCTGAAAAACCGATAACAGCTGTGGACCCTCTCCCAGGAAATTGTGTACTCTCCCAACTGTTGGCACCTACTCTCGGGGGTTCACCAGGCTCTGCCCCTGCCCCCCTGGGGACCCAGCTGTGGAGACTGGTCCTCAAATAGCCAGGCAGGCAGACCTCTCCCTCCAGTTCCCCTTTCACTTGAGCCACCTGGTGTAAGCCAGGGCCCAACCTGGCCTGTGGCAGAGGTTTTCTCCCCGATGTGCTAGTGCCACTGGTGGAGCTGAGTTCTTGCTGAGCAACTTTAGGGACCCTCTCCCGACTCTTAAAGACTGAGCCAAGCCAATGGGAATCCGGCAGAAATCCCCAGGGGACAGTGGAGCCTTTATGAAAGGGACTGATGGAATCCGAGGGCTGGAAGGGACCTGGGGCTGGTAGGCTGTCCCTCCGCTGTGCCTGGAGACCACCATCCCCTCCCTTGCCCCAGGGCCTTAGCACCGGCCCCCTTTGTCAGCCTTGCCCCTGGCCTCACCTTTTCCACCTGGTACTCTACTTACCCCCAGGTCTTTGGTTGGACTCAACTTCCTCTCACTTTGCTTGGTTCCCCAAAGTCTATGTTCAGAGGCCTGTGCCCCCCTTTCCTTTGAATTTCTCCATCACAGCATTTGTCCCACTGTTGCAATTGGCTCTCGGCTAGTCTGTATCTACTGTGTGGTTTGTCGCAGGAGAGAAGGCGCCCCCTGATTTTTATAATCTTCTTAACAACAATGTGGAGAAAACGGAGCAGTACTTACTGTGACCAACGCCATCTCGTGAAGCAAGCTGACCACCAGTTCACCCCTATCACCTGAAGGGAATCTTCCTGCATCAACAAGTGGGCCCATTACGTTGTTTACTGCTTTGGATTTTACAGAGTTTAACAAGCACGAGCTGAACCACGTAGCTCCAAGCCACCTGTGTTAGCTCGGACCACTTGGCTGTTGACAACAAGCCCCATCCCTTGTTGGGGGTGGAGATGAACTGTCTAGCTCAGCGGTTCTCAACCTGTGGGTCGCGACCCCTTTGGCGGTCGAACGACCCTTTCACAGGGGTCGCCTAAGACCATCCTGCCTATCAGATATTTACATTACAATTCATAACAGTAGCAACATTACAGTTATGAAGTAGCAACGAAAATAATTTTATGGTTGGGTCACAACATGAGGAACTGTATTTAAAGGGCCAGAAGGTTGAGAACCACTGGTCTAGCTGCTGCCCAAGGCGCTGGCTTCTGCCTCTAAGTTCTCTTAATAAACTTGATGTACTCCTGGGGTTGTCAGCCTCTTTCTTCCGGCTCCAGGCCCCAGGAGATTTTCCCAACAAAGTTTCTTGAGTAAATAAATGAGTAACTAACTGGCTGGTTTTGTGCAGGGTTTCTCTACCTTGGCACTACTGGCGTGTGGGACTTGGTAATTTTTTTTTGTCACCGGGGACTGACCTGTGCAGTGCAGCATCCCTGGCTCTCCTACCCACCAGGTGCCAACAGCACCCCATTCAGGTGTGACAACTAAAAATCTCTCTGGACAAAGGGAGGCAAAATCACCGAGGTAGAAAAATCAGTTTCAATGAATGCAGGTTGTTGACCTCGGAGTCCGATTGCCCATCTTGAGTCTCTGTCCGGGAGTGAGAGTTCAGTTAATCAGTTAACACTGATGGGGCGCTCGGGGTCGGCTCATGAAATGGGTGGCTGACCTCTTAGGGCCCCTCGGAGGAGGGAGAAAATTCCACTATGCAGTTGCTATGGAGCGTTTCAAGCCTTGTAATGACTTGTTACAATGTGAGCACACAAGGGGGCGCTCTAACTAACACTTTCAACCGCGGAGAAAAAAGGCCTCTCAAGGAGCTGGTGCCTGGACACTTGTTCAGTGATGAGCTTGGACTAAGATGCCTTGTTACGCCATCCGGGTGGGACAGTGAACCAGGGTCCGGGATTTAGAGAAATCCTTAGTCCTTAAACCTGCTATGAAGGACCCCTGCGTGTGTGGTTTCCTTAGAGACATAGACAGTGGGGGTAAATAATTAAAAACCCACTTATGCTCCATAAATAAGTCATAAGCAGTAAGAGAGTCTTCCCAGCTTCCATAGCAATGGCCCTGCTCTGGTAGCAGCAACGGACTGATGGAGTGATCCGGGGGCTCTGGCCAGATTGTTAGAAATCATCTAATCCTTTGCTTCCGACCTGAGTCCATGGCCCTGAAAACTGGGAAATGGTGTAACATTTTTGAGACACAACTTTGTGTGTGGTACAGCTTTGTGCCTCTATAGCTTTCACCGTATTTTCAAAGGCATCTAAACCCTGTCAATGTTACGAACCATTTGTTTAATCTCATTTTAGAGATAAAGAATCTGAAGCTCTGAAGTTCAAGTTTCTGCAGCTGGAATCTAGCAGAGCCAGGATGCACTTGGATCCCCTCTGCCTTCAGCCCAGTGGGGTGGTGCTCTGACGGGGACCCGGCCTGGGGGGGTGGTGAGGTCTGAGGCCGCTGAGGAACACGAATCCCAAGGCGTAGAGGGGTGGGAGGGTGCTTTACCAGTAGGGTTGCCAGATAAAATATTGGATCCTAGTTAAATTCATTGATCCTAGGTCAATGAATACTTTTATAGTATAAATACGTACCAAACATTACATGGGACATACTTATACTCGATTATTCATTTATTTGAAATTCAAATTTAACTGGGCATCCTGGGTTTAGGGAGGTTTGGTTGGTTTTTGTTCAATCTGTCAATGCTGTCTGCCAAGGACAGCCTCGGAGCCTTCAGTTGGGCAGCAAACACCGAAGCCCCAGCCAATAGATATTAATGATTCAGTGTTTGAGACTGGCTACCCCCCGGCCCTGCCTTCAGTGGAGGCACAGAGGCCCTTGGCCTCTGCTGATGGGACCTGCTTGGTTCTCTCTGTGACTTCAGCAGGCCTGCGGAGTCCTTGAGCACTACAGATATCCTTTATGCATACGGCCTCTCAGAAGATGACATTTCACAGGTCTTTGAAGAATAAAGATCAAGTTTATTGAATACAACACCCGCCAGAGTGCCTGCAGCTGTGTCACTGAGGCAGCTGGAGGGAGCGGTCTCAGTTTGGTGTGCTCGCTAGTGAAATTCCACTGGAGAGGGCTGCAGCCTCTCACTCACCCACTCAAGACACCATTGGAAACGTCGTAAGACCTCAGGAGACCATTTCTTTAGCAAGGAATAAATAAAAAAATTAGTAAGAAAAATATGCATTTCATTCTTCTATTAAAAATAATATTTGCTGTAGGCAACCATCTTCCTGTTGCTCAGCCTTCAGCGTGGGAGAGGGAAAGAAAGAATACAGAAAAACAGCTTAAGAACATCTGTGCTGTCCAGCTTCATTTTCTGTTTCGTGCATTGCCCGAGGCGAACCTTGTCTTCAAGTTGACATACCAATGGGGTTGCTTCCAAGCGGCGTGGTTTTCCCATTTGTGTCGGGCAAGGTTGCAGAGGGACAGGGTGCCGCTGTCCGGTCAGTGCTATGCACGTCCAAGGAGCAAGGACTACCCAGAACTACAGGCCTTCGAAGGACCAAAGACAAAGAGAGAAACACTAGCCCCTAAGCCAGGCCATTTGCTAGAAGTGATCCACTACAAAAAATAAAATAAAAAATAAAAAATAAACCAGAAAAACAAACCAGGTTTCCGTGTATGAAGGTACTTGGAAAAGTTCTTTATCTCTGTACAAGACAAAATATTCAAGTTTCAAAATATTCCAATGGCCTGCTGACTCTGAACCTCCTTCTGCTGCTCTCCACACCCCAGGATGCTCCGACTGGGGGGGAGGTGGGCCGGGTGGGAAATTAGCCAGCCCCGCTGTATCTCTCTACCCACAACATCAAGGCAGCAAGATGGCTTTAAGAACTGGTGGCTTGGCCTGAGGGATTGCTTTGTTCAGTGGGAGCAGGGCAGGTTCAGAAATAAGTGCACAGAGCTCTTGGAATCGGGAATCGTCTGCTCTTCTTAGAATGTGGATGTCCTCCCGGGGATGAGTGTCCGCTCTCGCAGTCCTAAGTGCCATCAAGGGAGCCTTCCGTTCTCTGTAGTGACAAGACACAAGACAAGGTATGGTCACACCCTTCAGGACTGAAGACTGGCATGCCGAAATGCAGACAGCGCTTCTTAAAGGAACTCCAAAGCAAGGCTGTCTTCTGCCGGCACGGCCCACACTCATTTCCCCCTCGCTCCATGCCTGCTCTGGAGGGCTTGCAGCCTCTACTGCCCATGTGCCTGTTGCACAGCAGACTACCAACCAACTCCCTCCAGCACCCACTGTGCGCCCAGCACTACGTCCCCTGGGTGCTACACTTACCCACAGAGGAAGACTAGTGAAGTCAAGAGAGACCTGTCTTCTTGCTCCAGCCCTGCCTCTAACAGAAGGTGGACCTTCTCTAGGTCTGTGTTTTAATTTAAAAAATGAAGGACTGAACACTGATGACCAACCTTGAATGTTTTCAAATTATATTATTCTGCCTTAAAAAGGAATGAAATTCTGATAGATTTCAACATGGATCCACCTTGAAAATGCTAGGCTAAGTGAACTAAGGCAGACACAAAGGAACAAATGTTGTATGATTCCACCTCTATGAGGTCCCCAGAGTATTCAAATTTAGAGAGACAGAGTAGAACAATGGTTGCCAGGGGCTGGGGGGACAAGGGGGTGAGTGTTGTTAAAGGGGTACAGAGTTTTGGTTTGGGATGATGAAAAAGTCCTGTGGGTGGATGGTGGTGAAGATTGCACAACAACGTGAGTGTACTTAACGTCACTAAACTGTACACTTAAAAATGGTTAAAATGGGCCAGGAAGCTCAGTTGGTTAGAGCGTTGTCCCGATACACCAAGACTGCAGGCTTGACCCCCGGTCAGGGCACATACAAGAATCAACCAATGAATGCATAAGTAAGTGGAACAACAAATCAATGTTTCTCTCTCTCTCTCTCTCTCTCCTCTCTCTTTCCATTTTCTCTCTCACTCTAAAATCAATCAATCAATAAAAATATGTAATGGTTAACATGGTAAATTTTATGTTGTATATGTTTTATAACAATAAAAAAGGGATTCCATATGCCTTCTTGTAGTGTTCTCTAACTGCTTCATATGGTATTTATGTCACCTCCCACCCCCACCCCCATCAGTGACTAGACCCACATCTTACCCAGGCAGTTCTCTATGCTGAGGATGCAAGAACCTGACACACTCCCCCCACCCCACCCCCAATTTTATATCCTGGAATTCTTGACAAACAACCCTGCTGTGAACTAGAAGGTGGAAGAGGTCCTAACAAACGGTAGGAGTTCAGAGGTGGAGCAGGATGAAGGTCTGAGGGGCTTCAGCTGGAAGCCTAAGGCTCTGCCTCCTCCTCTGCCAGGAGAGACCCTGGCGGGCCAAGAGAGCTGTGCTGGCCCAGGGGGCTGGAGGCCCGCCAGCCTTGGCAGCCACCCCCGCCCCATTTCCTCCTCCACTGGAGGGTGACCCTGGTCCAGCCTTTTTGCAGGGCCCAGACCAAGTCCCTCCCCAGTCACCTCTGCTCTCCTCCGAGGGAAACCAGCACTTGGGGAGCTGCTGTCAGACCAGCCCCACAGACAGGAAGGGCTGGGCCACAGTCAGCTGCGCCTGGGGATTTTGAAGTAAAGGTGAACACGCTCACATCTAAGGCCTGTGCTTAAATCAGAGCCAGCCGTCAGCCACGCAGACAGAGACGAAATCGCCCTGCTTTCTGGCCAAAGGTCATTTTTGCTTCGAACACCCTGAGGGGATCTCTACTTCCTGCTTCTAGATTGTGCCCCTTATGAGCATTTCCAATAAACCAGGTCTGCTAGGTGTTCATTTAATTCTGCAACAACCGGGGGAGGGGGCTTTAAAACTTACAACTTACAGATGAGGAAACTGAGGCCCTGAGAAATCTGCCCACAGTGACATGGCTGATAAGTGGCTAATAAGAAAAAAAGTCCAGTTTTAATGGGGGTCTCTGATCCTAAGTCAAAGCCTGGCTTTGGTTGAATCCTGTGCCTTGGGTAAGCAGTGCCTTCTTCCCCTCTGTGATGGGGCATCTCAAGGCCAGGTGAAGTTCCCACATTCACACCCAAACCGCCACAGCGTTTGATGAAAAGAACTTCAAAATAGATCATAAACTAGCTTTTAAATGATAGTTTGCATGGTACCTTGCACATGTTTCTCATTTAACCCTGAAGAAACTCCTAATAGGTAATTATTGTTTGTGTTGTTGTCATCATCTCCATTTTACAGACCAGGAAGCTTGAGGAAGACAGGATCACCCAAAAGATGTCTGGAGAACTGGATCTCACACTCCAGTCTCCTGATCCCAACTCCTGGGCAATGCCCACTGCAGCCTCGCTGCCCACTGGCTCCCAGGAGGGAGAAGGTGAGTTGTAAATGGGAGTTGCCTTTCTTCAGTAAGAAGGCAAGGTTCTTTCCAAGATCCCCAGACCCACGCAGGCCCAGATTCCCCCCTTTTGCTTAAGGACTGGGTGTTCTCTTCCACGTTATCTGTCTGCCTCCCTCCGCCACAAATACAATTTATAAACAAGGCAAAAATGGCAGAGGAAAATGAAGTCAGAGTGTGCCATTGAAGTAAGTCAAACAATACTAAATTGGTATTTGGCTGAGTGGCTATCTCATTGTTAAGATATTTCCTCCAATATGTTTTCAGAAGCACCGGCCATTAAACAACTGGGAATGATTGCCAGGTTTGATTTCAGGAAGGAAATCCCCTCCCATTTCCCTGCTGGGCAATTCAATTAATTTTCTCCTGACCCTCACCCACCAGCTGATTATTAGGGAAACTATACCTGCTTCTCTTATAAACAAAATGCTTTCACTTAAAGATTCAAAATTCCTTCCAACGGCTGGGAACCCCTGCTCTCCCACCAAAAGACTTGAGTATTTTGGAGAGCGGGAGCATCCTGGGAGCAGATTTCTGGGCTCACGGGCCAGCTTCTGGGGAAAGGGAAAGTTCTGTCTGTCCTGGACCTTGGAGCCTCTACCAGAGAGACCATTTGGATTGAAGACAAAGTAAATAAGTCGGTCCTGCAGGTCCAGCAGACCTGCCTTGGGTGGACACAGCCATGTTTACTGCAGCGTCTCCTTATCTGGGTCCCACACTGCCCATGGAACAACGGTCTCACCTTCCACTCTTTCCAGGCCATGATGGCTGGGACAGTGACATCACTTTTTGGAGGGAGTCTTGTGTCATGGACTGGCTAGGGGAGGAGGGAGCCTGCACACTTAAATTCCAGTCCTGGCTCTGCTATGAACTAGCTGGGTAACCCTGGGCAAGCTGTTTTGCCAATTTGGGTCTCGGTTTTCTCACCTATCAATTGGGCTCCCTGCCCTTCCCATGTAATAGTCTCTGATTTCAGCCCGGCCGCTGGCTCACTGGTTGAGTGTTGACCTATGAACCAATAGGTCACGGTCAGGGCACATGCCCGGGTTGTGGGTTCAATCCCCGGTGGGGGGTGTGCAGGAGGCAGCCAATCAATGATTCCCTCTCATCATTGATGTTTCTATCTCTCTCTGTCCCTCTCCCTTCTTCTCTGAAATCAATAAAATATATATTTTTAAAGTCTCTGATCTCAGAAGTCTTGGGGGGTTGTTAGGTTAGAAAAAAACATTCATCCATTCCTTTTGTCTTTAAACTGATAGCTTTCCTCCACAATAAGGATGTCAGCGCTTCCTGTCTGTCAAAGGCATAACGACTTCTCTGTTTTATAAGAAGGAAGACTCAGGCAAAGAAAGGAAGCCAGGGGGCCCATTGGAAGGGCTACCAGCAGTCTTGCTGCAAGTTCTTCCCAGACCTTAAAGAAACAGGTTAGTGGGGCAAATTCTTCATCTCTGAAGATGCAAGCTGCCCTTCACTCCTGCACTGCTGCGTGGCTCATAAAAAGGCTGGGAGTAGGAAGACGGGGAGATGGGTCTTTGCAACATTTGAACTTGGACTTCTGCAAGCCTTCCTCCCAAGCCTGGACCCTGGACTAGCAGGAAATATGAACGTGGCTTGTTTGGAGCTAAGTGCCTTAGATTCCCAGTTCTCCGGGAGGGGGTTTCCAGGGTCTCCCTTCATATGTGACACTCTTGGCATGTGTGGCCCAAGTGCTGGGCTGAGATGCAATGATGCAAACAGTGGGAGAGAATATTTGACATCACAACTGGCCCAGCAAAGCTGGCTGGTCTAATGACCCAATATCCATGGGCCCAGGGCTCCTGGTCTGAAACAGACGAGGCCAGTACATGGGTATAATCAGTGGGAATGCAGAATCTGGGTGAGTCTGGAAATATTTCATTGTTCAATGGACTGTTTTTTTTTTTTAAATGATGCATATAAAATGTGTACTTACAGAATATCTGTTTTCCATGAAATCTGTAAAACAAAGGGTAACAGGGAAGTGAGCAATGCAAAGAGAGCGTGTTTGGGTCCTCCCACCCCAACATCTCAGGGGCTGATCCCAGAAGGGAAAGGGGGAGATGATGCAGAAGATGCCAGACCCACAAGCTTACTGGGTTCCCAGGTTTATGGCTCTTTTGCCCAGACAGCTTCCCCTGGGCCCTGTAGCTCTATGTGACAAGCATAGAACGCCCCTGGCCAGCTTATTTGACATTTAAATGACATATATATGTTTGTGTTGATTTCAGAGAGAGGGAGAGAGAAACATTAATTGGCTGCCTCCTGCATGCCCCTTACTGGTGATTGATCTGGCAACTCACGCATGTGTCCTGATTGGGAACCAAACCAGCAACCCCTCATTGCATGGGACAACACTCAAGCTCAACAACTGAGCCACACTGGCCAGGGCTCACTTGACATTTTAAACAGTTTTTTAAAAAATTAGTACCACCTATTATTTTAGGAACAAAGCTGAAAACCATAGAAAAGTAATAGATAAAAGTATCTCCAGTTCTACTCTTCGAACCTTATTGACATTTTTCATCTTTTCTGCTACCAGTAAGCTTCTTTTGGAGTTATAATTATACAGTACCTGCCATTTTATAGCCTATCTTTTTCACATTGCATGATTTTGTAAACATTTTCTGGTACCTTCTTAAACATTATCGTTAGCAGCTGCATAATAATCATTTGATGGATGTTTATTTACTTATCCAGTTCCTTACTTTAATAATTTAGGTTCTTTCCAAGTTTTTGCTATTTTAAATAATGCTGCCAGTATCTTCTTTGGGAATAAAGCTATTTTCATATGCCTTACTAGCCTGTCCATTCCCGGGAGTGGAATCAATGGAGCAGAAAGTATAAACATTGCTGACACTCTTGGCATGTGTGGCCCAAGTGCTGGTCTGAAGGGCAGGACTTGTCCCTGAGGAGACTCGTTTCAACTGTCCGGAGACCACACTGTCTTCTTGCCAGAGTGCATGCTGGGACTAGCTGGCCCTGCCAGGCTTCAGTGATGAAAATGGCCCTGGCCAAATATCAGGAAGAAGAGAGTAGGGGTAAGAAAAGCCAATGAGACCGGCCAGTGTGCTCAGTGGTTGAGCACTGACTTATGAACCAGGAGGTCACGGTTCGATTCCCAGTCAGAGCACACACCCGGGTTGCGGGCTCGATCCCCAGTCTGGGGCATGCAGGAGGCAGCTGATCAATGATTCTCATCAATGATGTTTCTCTCTCCCTCACCCTTCCTCTCTCTGAAATCAATTTTAAAAATACGTTAAAAGAAAAATCAATGAGAACGGGAGGCAGAATTGTCCCTGACTGCATTAGTTAGAGTTAGTTTTCACTGCAAGAGGTAAGAAAGGGGTATGATTTGCCCCATTGGGCAAGACCAGGCCCCAACTAATAGCAGAGTTTGTGAATGGTCAGTGACCCACATGTTGGGGCTGATTCCTAGAGACTGTAGAAATAGACATAAAAACGGAGAAGCCACAGGGACCTCTTGTTATTTGAGGAAGGCCCCGAGAGGAGGTGTAGATTCGAATTGGGGGTGGTTGCCATTCTTGATGGCTGTGGGGTGAAGGCAGGAAGGCCATGACCCCTCCTCAAGTCCCCAGTCTTCCTGGTGGAAGCTCTCCACGGGGCCTCAGTTTCTACCAGCCGCCCAAGCTCAAACCTGGTCCCTCCTAAGTCTTGGGGCCCACCTGTTACAACCCTTCTGTTTCTTTCTCTAATTTAGAAATATCCTGTTTCCACAAGTCCACTTCCCCCTCGAGCCCTGTCTTATCACAGCTCCATTGTGTGTCCCCTCCAGAAGGAACAGGGCCAGCAGTTCCTAAGGGGCCCCTTCTGTCCTGGCCGGGACAGAGGCAGGCGGCAATGGCCAAATGGATGAATCAGCCCGACCGCGAAGCTGAGCCATTGTGTAAACTTCCACACATTGAGTGAGGCGGGCAGCACCCCACCCCCACCCCAAATCTGACCTGGGAGGATCCAAAGGACCCCATGCTTCCTGCTCCCCCAAAGCCCCAAAGGCTCTGGAATGAGACGAACTAGGGAGAAAGCCTCAGTCCGTGTTTCCTAAAGCAATCTGAGCACAAAATGCTAACATTTGAGTCTGCTGATATACACCAAGTTTCTGTACACAAGTTTCTGTGGTTTTCTTTTTGGTAATAGAGGAACCACAACAAAAATAGAATCTGGGGAGCAGTATCCTTCCCCCCCCCACAGAGTATGTTTTTACCCTCTCGAAGTCCAAGCCTGGGCTACTCTGGGCCTCTCGGGGGCGGGGGACTGATCCTCGTGCTCCTCTGGCTCTCCCAGAGGGGACATGGCACAGAGGCCCTCTGTTCTATTTTCTGAATGACCAGCTACTCCTGGTTTACTGGGTTTCTCCCCTTTAAGAAACATCTGTTAGTCTGAATCCCAGGCAAAGGGAAGCAAAAGGTGGAGGCTGAGTGAGCAGATACTCAGGCGGGAAGGAGGGCTCTGTCTGACCCAAAAGGCTTAGGTTAGTGTCTGGAGCAGGACTGGGCATCTTTTCCCAGGGCCTGGAGTTGTCAGGGGGACATGCCCAAGACACCTCCCAAGGTGGGCACAGGGCACCTAGAGAGAAAAACCAGCTCTGCTGTTGGAAGATCGCAGGAGGTGAATTCCTCTGAGCCGGGGTTTCTTAACATTGGCACTCTCAGCATCCTGGTCTGGAGCAGTCTTTGATTTGGGACTTGTCCTGTGCCCTGGGAGGTGTCCAGCAGCATCCTGGCCTCCACTCACTACAGGCTGTAGCATCCCCCTCCCCCCAGGTTATGGCAACCAAAAATGTCTCCAGACATGGCCACATGTCCCCTACATTGAGAACCACTGCTCGAAGCGCTGGAAGTCTCACTCAGACTGGAGTTCTTTCACAGGGAAGAACTTGACCGTGTTGCTAATTGTAATAAACCACTTTACCCTTCCGTTTCAAAAGCCAGTGTAGACATAGGCTAATGGGTTTTGCTTTGGATGACCTGTGAGCCACTTTATAAAGTATTTTCAGAATTAGCTGGAGCCCAATAAAATGTGCCGAATCAGAGGTAAACTTTCCTGGCCAGAAATTACAGTTCACACAATCGTGGCTCAGCCAGGCTGAGGGAGCTGCTGAGAGCCATGGACCGCCATGCGTTTACAGAGAGGCTCCCTACACAGCCATCATTTCTCTAGGAGAATAAGGAGAGAGAAAGAAAATGAAATCGTTCCTTGGCTTAGCCAGGACCAGACAGAGAGGAGGAAGTCGGTGACAGAGAAGTGGTGGGTATGAGGTAGGGGTTGACTCCAGGTCACCCTGCAACCCAGAGCACCAGAGCTAGGAACAAGCCCCGGGAAGACACAGCTATCTAACTCACAGAGCTCAGGGGAGTAACCAATTACCCTGCAGGAAGTCCTCAGCCACGGGACGGGAGTAGATCGGGTCTGCTTATGTGTTAGGAGAGAGACACCACACTGTAACCTCGACTACTTTCTCTAACCGCTCACCTCTTCAGACCACTACATCACTGCTTCAGCCTAATCATCAGCCATAACTAGAGCGGCTACTGCTGACTCAGATTTGCAAATAAGTGAAAAGGGAACAAGAACTTTGGGAAATCTCAAGTGCTAAGCTTGCAGATCTAAACCATGAGGCATTATCAGCATTTTCTCCATTTCCCTAAGAAACAGAAGATTACAGAGACACAAAAGCTCTCAATTTGGTTTCTTTCTGATGTGATTTTTCTAGTTCTGGGCACCCCTCTCCTTCCTTCCCTAACATGTGGCAACAAATCATTTTTTTTCTTTAATTTAATTCTTTATTATTTAAAGTATTAGGTATGTCTCCTTTTCCCCCCATTGATCTCCCCCTGGCAAAAAAAAACACACATGCCCTTACCCCTCTACTGTCTGTGTCCATGGGTTATACTTATATGCATGCATACAAGTCTTTTGGTTGATCTCTCACCACCACCCCTCCTTTGCCTTTCCTCTGAGGTTGGATGGTCTGTTCAATGCTTCTATCATCTTATAATTGGAAAGGGGAGAAGATCAAAGACCAAGAGGTTTCCTTGCCATAGACTAAGAGTAATTGCTGGGACAAGATGTCAGATTAACTATAGTCAACATATGGTAGGCTCTGAGTAGACAGAATAGCAGACGTGCATGGCCATGGCCATGACTCAGTGGGAGACATGGAGTTGGAAGAGATGTCCCCCTCCTCCCCATTTCATTTATTTTATTATTACCGTGCTTTTTAATCATCACCCAAGGACTTGTTTATTGATTTTTAGAGAGAGAAAAAGGGAGAGGGAGGGAGGGAGAGGGAGGGAGAGAGAGAGAGAGAGAGAGAGAGAGAGAGAGAAGAAGAAGAAGAAGAAGAAGAAGAAGAAGAAGAAGAAGAGATCAGTTGCCTACCATCCATGCCCCAAGCGGGTATCAAACCCACAACCTGGATATGTGCCCTGACTGGAAATCAAACCTGCAAACTTTTTGGTGTATGGAAGGACGCTCCAACCAACTGAACCGCCTGGCTGGGGTCCCCTCCTCCTAATTTTAAAGAACCCACCTGCCCACCACAGCTCTTCCTTATCCACTTTAGGGCCACATACGCTCCTGAGGGACACTGAGGTGTTTACAGCAATTCTGCATGGGTCAGGGGCGTTTTGTTGAGAATTAATGAGAAAACTACCACCGGGGACAGGGGGAGAAATGAGGGGTCAAGCCATATAACCTCGTAAGGCAGTGGTTCTCAACCTTGGCTGCACATTAGAATCACCTGGGGATCTTTTTAAAATCCTGATTTCTGGGCCTCATCCTCCGGAAATTCTGTTTCTTTGTTATGGGGTGGGGCCACAACATTAGTAACAAAGAAACAGAATTTCCAGAGGATGAGGCCCAGAAATCAGGATTTTAAGATTCCCAGGTGATTCTAATGTGCAGCCAAGGTTGAGAACCACTGTGCTAAGGGCAGAGTTGAGACCAAACCCCAGGTCTCCATCTCCTATGTAGGATGTTCTCCATCAGGTTCACAGTACAAAGAACCATCCAAGCAGGACTCTGGCCAATGTGAATGCAGCGGAAACCCAGTAACTGGGCCCCTGAGATCCCTGACTTAATTCAGACTTGAAGGGGAAACTCTGGCTTAAAGGCAAATACCTATGTGGTCTTGGAGTCAAGGGTGGATAAAGGGTTAGGTGACTCATAGAAGTTACTGATGACTCTCTCCTCACCAACATGTTCAGGGGGATGGATGCTTCCAGACTGACTGAGGCATAGACTGAGACTCTCTGAATGTCATAACTGAAAGGCAACTTAAGATCATGCTTTCAACCACCTCCTTTGACAGATGAACAGGCAGAGCTTAGTCACATTCACAGAGACACAAAGTAGCCTGCTTGTTGTTGGGGCTGAGGAGAGAAGGGGGTTTTGTTCAGTGGGGAGGAAGTTTCAGTTTGGGAAGATGAAAAACTTGTGGAGATGGATGGTGGTGATGTTGTCCAATATTGTGAATGGATTTAATGCTCCTGAAAAGTACACTTAAAAGTGATTAAAATGGCAAGTGTGAGGTATACTGTACCACAGTTAAAATAAATAAATAAGCCCAGCCATTGTGGCTCAGTGGATGGAGTATCAACCATGCACCAAGAGGCCACCAGTTCAATTCCGGTCAGGGCACGTGCTCAGGTGGTGGGCTCCATCCCCAGTAGGGGGCGTGCAGGAGGCAACCGATCAGTGATGCTCCTCTCACATCAATGTTTCTATCTCTCCCTCTCTCTTTCCCTCTCTCTAAAAATCAATAAAAACATATTTCTAAGTAAATAAACAAATAAATAAAGCTGAGCTTGGAGACTAAAGCCAAGGTCACAAAGACCTGTGCCTCCCACAGACTACGAGAACCTTACACTTCTCAGCCAGGTCCTACCCAGAGCCCTGCCCTGGGGCTGCTCCTTGGAGGCAGGCCTGCCCGGTGCCCTTTGGCTTATCTAGAAGAGCAGTTTGCTTTTGTACCACTCAGGGAAAAATGGGGTTTAAGAGCCAGAACTACGCCCTGTGAGCCAGTTCCCGAAATAGCCAGTGCTGAAGTGCTGCCCGTTGGAAGACGCTGGGGAACTGAGGAATTAAGGTGGGGAAAAATAAAAAATTAAGAAGGAAAGGTCAGATAAGACTCAGCTCTGCCCTCAGCCTGCTCACTGACCTATCCAGAGACCCTTCCCCCCACCAGGGCCTTTGTTTTATTGTGGATATCTCTCTCTCTCTCTCTCTCTCTCTCTCTCTCTCTCTCTCTCTCTCTCTCTCTCTCTCTCTCTCTCTCTCTCTCTCTCTCTCTCTCTCTCTCTCTCTCTCTCTCTCTCTCTCTCACACACACACACACACACACACTGTTATCTCTGCTGTCCACCCTGAGCCATCCCTCCAGGATCAATGAGGGTAAGAAAGACCCTACCCCTTCACACAAGAAGCAGAGCAGAACTCAGAGTGACACAATCAGAAGGGAACTCAAAGCATCTAGAGCAGGGGTGGGGAACCTTTTTTCTGCCAAAGGGCTATTTGGATATTTATAACATCATTCTCAGGCCATACAAAATTATCAACTTAAAAATTAGCCTGCTGTATTTGGTCCAATATTTAATCAACTCACCCCTAATGCCTTGGCAGGGCCAGACCAAATGATTTCTCGAGCTGGACTTTCCCCCACCCCTGATCTAGAAGACGGTTCTAAAAGTGTGGTCCCCAGACCAGCAGCAGCAGTGGCTGTGGGAATTGGTTGGAAATGCCTATTCTCAGCCCCACTCCAGACCTACTGAGTGGGAAATGCAGGAGGTGGTGCCAAGCCTCCTGTGTTTAAACAAACCTGGAGAGCCCTGTCCTACATCCGAGCCCAGGCCCCTCATTTCACAGAGACCGAGGTCCAGAGGGGTTCCATGGCTCACTCAGTCACCCAGACCAGACCAGACCAGACCAGGCTGTTACCCTTAGCTCCTGAATTAGAGAGAGTGCAATCCTCTGATTAAGCTGATGATAATGTGGAAACCAAACAAACAAACAAAAAAGTGGGAAAATGTAGAAGCTCACAGCCAATCGGTTTGGCAACACAGAGAGGACGTGTGAAGGCTCTGCAGCCAGCTCCCTGGCTTTGAGTCCCCGCTCGGCCACTGCTGGCCTGGGCACCAGGACGAGTTATTTACCACCGGGGCCCATTTCCTCCTCTGCAGAGCAGGAGAAATAACAGTGAGCATCTGACAGTAAGAGGAAGAGAAAGAAAAAGAAAAGCGGAATCAACCAAGGCCTCTTTATGCAGCAGCCGAGCGGGAAACCGCTCAGAAACAGGACGTGCCTTGGCTTCCAGGACGGGAACCAAGCCCAACTGACCCCTGGTGGCCCAGACGGGAGCTCCCTGGCCTGGGAGCCGGGAGATGGCTTTGGTCTCACCCTGGGCACTGGGGTTCCAGTTCCTCTTGTTTTTTCCAGCTAAAACAGACTGAATGCTCACTCTAGGGTAGAGATAATACACTGACTGCATGTGTGGGGTGGGTAATTAGCACCATCTCCCCTGACCCTGTCTCATCCCCCTTTTTCATTGAATTCCATCTCCACTTAACAGGCGAAGAAATTGAGCCTCAAAGAAGTTAGGCATCTTAGTCAAAGGGTCAAAGTCACACAGCTGGTAAGAGGCAGGAGAGGTTGATGACTCCCAACACAACAGGGCGCTTCACTGTCTTGAATCCCTCCCTACAGGGTTGGGTGCCTGTGGTCCATTCCATCCCAAGGCCAGAGGGAGCAGTCACATTCCAACAGCCTGGCACTGAGGACTCCGGCATCTAGAACCAGCCTGGGGACCCCGAGAGAACCCACTTGAGCAGCTGCCTCAACGCAGATGCAGGAAACCAGAATACACCTCCCCCAGATACGCCACTTTGGCACAGCAGTGATTTTGAGCTGGAAGCAGAGAATCAACGGATGCAGAAAGAAGCCGTCTGGGAGCTTCTCTTATCGGAGTAAAAGCAGAAACTTCTGAGACCTAAGAACTGCCATAAACCCCCTGCCCCAGGAAGTTTTATGGTCATGAAGACTCGGAAAAGCTGGTGCCGAGGTGGACATCCACAAATAAGCCTGACGCCCCAGTAGGTCCCCCATATATTTACCTTCCCACAGCTCTCTACCTGGAACCCCTTTTCCTTTGTTTTGTCACTTCTCTATGAATTTATTATTCTTGGTTAACATGCCAAATAAGCCACAGATTTTAATCCCTCCACCAAGTCACTTATCACCTGCTTGTTTTTCTCTCGTTAATCTGTCTTTTTTTCAGCAGGGCCCCTAACAACAACCCTTGGGAATCCACACTGGGCATGGCCTTCCTCAGCTGGAAGGGGCCTCCAGGGATAGCCCTAGGTGACTACAGACCCCAAGGCCTTATCCCTGCAGCCTGCCCGCCTACCAGCTTCCCTCCCAAAGACAGTGCCGCTCAGGGATCAGGAGCATGGAGCCTGGCTCTGGGGTGGACTAGTTCTCAGGGACTTGCTTGCTGTGTGACCTCGGGCAAGTATTTTAACCTCTCTATGCCTCAGTATCCTCATCTATAAAATGGGGTTTATTGTGAGGATTGAAAGAGATCATGTAACCTAGACCACTTGGCACAAAAGCTCAATAAATGTGAGCTTTTGCACAACCAAAGCAACTGCAAGGGAACCATGTCTGGGACCATGAGAAAAGCAGAAGAGACATTTTTGCAGTTACTAAACAGGACCAACCTTGAACCCTACCTGACCTTTAGCTTTCTTTCTATTACATGGATGAACAGAGAGAAGAACAGAGAAAGCCTGTTTATTTCCAAATTTACATTTTACTAGCTCTGAATATATTGAAAATGCAAAATCAGATACTTAAGCCAAAAATTCCCCAGCAAATGGTTTTCAAAAATTATTTAGTGCTGAGTCCCACAAGGGGCTGAGTATCTGCTCCAGCCATGAATTAGCGTTAAAAAAAAATTACTTAAGGAGTGATTCCTATTTCAGAGAAAAAGTAGGCTCTTCAGGTAAGACAGTTACCTGTCTTCTCAAATGTTGTCAGCATCAGAAACATCTGGGAACATGTTAGAGTTCAGATTCTGGCGACTGTGGTTCTGTGGGTCGGGCTGGGCCCGGGACCATGGCTGCTTCTGGCCTGTGGACCACACTTGCATTAGCCGGGCTTTACCGAGTCTCCCAGCCCTTTTTAAGAATTCCCTTCCAAAGAATTCATGTACATAGAGGTCTGTTATTCAAAGGAAGATATCCCTCTAGCAACTGTCTCCCTCAGGATGCTTATGCCTTTTACATTGCAATTTATTTTCAGAACTTAAAAGTAATCTCTGTAGATTTCATTTCTGCAGAATGGAATGCAATAATTATACAAAAAATGAGATGGTTGGGAGCATCCCGGTTCCATGCCTGCCAGGCACTGCGCTCGGTTTGGGGGAAGCTCTTCACCTGCAAGCGGGGAGGTGGGAGTAGAAGTGGGTCTAGGCAGAGGCTAAGGGAATGGAGCAGATCCGACTCCCTCCCCCGAGGTCCGCATGCTCCCAGGAAGGCTGAAGCCACTGACCATCTTCAAAGCAAAGCGCCGACTCTGTCTAAGACCTTCTTGGGGGAGAGGGGGCTCTGCACCAGGCCCCCATGGGGAGCAGGTGAGGCTCACTGCCTGGCACCCACCCTGCTTCTCGGGGTCACAGAAGAGCTCTGCCGAGTGTCCTGTGAGCACACAATGGTGCCAGCACCCACTCCTGTCCAACAAGCCCAGCAGCTGGGCGCCTGTTTGCCTGGTGAGAGTCAACTCTGTGTAAGAGGTGGCACCCCTTCTTGACGTCCTTTGCTCCCTCTTTTGTCTGCCCACTCCCAGGACCTCATGGATGATGCTGGGGGCAGTGCCCACCAGGCTGGGGGTCAGGGCCCCTCACTCACCGGGGTTAGCTTTCCGGATCTCACTGTACACTGTCTCCGTGCCTTTCCTTCCCAGACCTGGAAAGGGACCAGGCACAGGTCAATAGCTGCCTCTGAGAACCAGGTCGGCCCACTACTGAAGCAGGAAAATATCTGAGGCTTCCCAGGCAAGGCTGCACCCTGCTACCCCAGCCCACGAATGCCATCTTCAGGAGCGCCTGCAGACCCCCTCACCACGAAGCCGGGCCACTTCCCAGCTTTAGAAGACCTGGTCTAACCAGTGTCACTCAGCTGGAAGTATGAGGTTAATAGGTCACCTTGGGAACCCTGGACCAGAGGGGCCGGCAGCCTCCAGCTTGGGGCCTCCTCCCTGTTTCCCTGCCCTGTGTCCCCGTGTCCAGCTTCACTGTGTCCCAGAAGGCTTGGCTACAGCTTTCCAATCGCCTGAGGTCCACGTTACAGCCTGAGTGTCATCTGTGCCTAAGGATTAGCTGGGACGGAGACCGTTTACAAACCTAGGCAGCTGGGCTGCTCAGTTTCACATGCCTGTACCTGGGCCTCACTGCAGCTCTGTCTGCATTTGTCTGGGGTGGGTCCTGGCTTTGGCTATTTTTTTAAGTGCTGCCAGGGGGTCCTAATATGAGACTGGGTTGAGATACTCTGATCTGGGCTATTTTGAAACAGCAGGCAAGATGGGCCACCCCAGGTGTGGATTCTACCCAGAGGAGATGCAAGGGTTTGGGAGACCAAGAGCACCCATTCGGCCATCTGTTTATGTATATGCACTGCCTGTATATACACACATGTACACACACGCCTAGTGCATCTACACGCATTGTCCACACACATATAGTAGGTACACACAGTATGCACATACAGGCCTGCACGCCCGTGCATACACTCACATACACACCCACAAACCCTGAGGAAACAGGATGGAACCCAGCTGCTTCCCTGGCTCCTCTCAACTGCACAAGCACCAGGAAGCCTTATTGTAGAAAGGCATCTGATGCCATGTGGCCAGCACTCTCCCTCTGCACATTGGGAACCGGAGCCCCCGACAGGGTGAGCCCTTCCTGCTGCCACAGCCAGCGCCATGTAGATGTTTCCTTCCTCAGTGGCAGATGGCCTGGGCATGCCCATGGACTCTAACTGCACCAAGATACTCTCAACTCACCCTGTTCCAGAGACACCCCCCTCTCTTGCCCCTGATCCTGCACAAATTCCTCCACTACCCTCATGGCCCTTTCTCTTTGCTCTATTCCTCCTCATCCTCTAAGCCCCAGGACAAGCTTTGCTCCTATAGTCGGAGCACACACCCTCACACACCTATATACTCCCTCACACACTCACCCCTTCCTGTGCCCAGGCAGTTACAGAGGCCCCTGTGCCTCACAGCACTCTGGGGACACTTGCCCACTACACGCTGACATTCTTTGTCCCCACGACTGCCTCCCCTCGTGGCCCCAGAGCCCCTCCAGGGCAGCGCCTGAGGTCTTGTGCACCTCCCAACCCCAGCACCTGCATGGCTACCTGGAGGCACCTGTAAAGGTTTGATGTGACAGTGAAGGCACCAGTCAACGTCCCTGTAAGTGTCTCTATCTGAAACCCAGGGCCTTCAGGAAGGTCTTGGCAGTTAGCCCAATCCCTGAGGTTTTTGGTTTTAGGATTAAAATCCTGGTCATTCATTCCACATTGAATGGCAAGGGTTCTGTGGCAGGACCCGAATGCCAGAGACAGCCTGGGGGGTGGTTCAGATCCCCACGGCTAAACTTGAGGCACTTGGGGTTGCCAGGGCCGTGAAAAAGGAGACTCCCTTGTGGCAGGGAACGGGAGCGGGAACTCAGTAGAGCGGCTGAGATACCAGGTACCCCCCTAAGAGGACAGCAGAGAGGCCCACGCCGCTCTCCCCCTGTGACACAGATTTGGGGGTGCCAGGGGTCCACCAAATCCCTAGAGGACTCTCTGCTCAACGTCAGGCCTGGCCAGTCCCTCGCTCAGTGTGATCTAACAGCTCCTGTGTGCCGGGCACCACGGAAGAGGAAGCGGTGAACTGGACCAGCTTTCAGGAGCTGCAGGCTGCAGGGTGATGGGTGTGCAAACAGTGCTGTAGGACCCTGTGTCCGGGCGCACCAGGTCGCTGCCAGCTCATCCCCTGACCCAGCCCCCCATGGAAGTGGAGGAGGGGCAGGGGGCCCTGGCGGCCAAGCCTGGGGCCCTGGACACCCTGTGAACTCCACTGCCCCAGGTGCATAGGGGTGGTCTCTCTGGTTACCTTGGGGACACTATCACCCTCTGGACCCGAAGAGCCACACTCAACTCCCTTTAACCTCCTAATGGCTTGCCCGCCTGGGCAGCAGGGTGGCTGCCTCTTCTTGGTGCCCCAGTGGTTTCTCCTGTGCCCTCCTGGTTCTGCCCAGCTCAGTGGTGGGCGGGAGCTTGCAGCTCATCACTCCCCTCCCCTCGCTGCTGTCAGCAGCTGCCTGCTAATGACTAAACCAGCCAGCAGGCTGTTTGTCTCTGCTGTCAGAGGGATTTCCAGATGGGGCTTTATTTTGGCTTGTTTTTCTCTGTTAACAGAGAAGAGATGGCTTCAACCTCATGGGGTTTTCCCAGCAATTAGGCTCAGAGCAAACAGGCAGCAAACCGGGGTTTACCGAGTTCCTTCCTGCCCCTCCTCCACCCTCAAGGGACAGCTGGTCAGCTGCCAGCCAGGGTTAGAAGTGGACCCAGTACCCCCTTCCCCTCCTCCACCCCAACTGGGGAGGAGGGGGGCCTTGAGGACAGGGAACTGGGTTGGCCAAGACCAGGTCAAGTTTACTCATCACTGGCCTTGCATCCACAAAGTCCTTTCCTGGCTTGGTAACTCCCCAAGAGAAAGCCAAGGGGCAGCAGCATAAGCCAGGCCTGCCCTCTGCCACACAGCCCTACTCTCAGCTGCCAAAGATGCTGGATCCAAAAACCGCAACGTGAATCCTCTAGAAACTCTCCATTTCCACACAAGTGACCCCCATTCTAGCTCTACTGAGGCCTCCACAGCCCCCACAGCACCTTTGTGCAAATTGGGAAAAGGTGACCACTTGGGTGGTTACAACCCTGTAGGTGCACAGCTTGGCAAGGAAGGCGCCCTGCCTCACCTGTCCTAATACTTCGTTTCTCTTCAACACTTCCCACCCCTTCAAGCAAATTAAACCAGACACTACTAACTAACATGGAAACATTCCCAAGGAACCCTTCTCCAAACCCTGCTTCCTTCTTCCTCCTTCAGGGCCTTACATACAAAGCTTCCCGGGCATCAGGCAGAGCCTGTAATTCTACCTCCTCCAGTGCCCCTCCCCCTATGGGCCAGAAGCAGAGTAAAGGCAGGGCCTGGCCCTCAGGGGTAGTACCATTATCTGCTTGGGCACTCAGTGGGGTATGGAGAGTCAAGAAGATGGGTGTGTGTGTGTTTCCACACACATACAAAATCTTTGGGCAGCCCTGCCCTCTTGTTATAATCCTCCTTTCTTCTATAGCCCAAGTCCCCTAAAGAGGAAGTAAGCTTCTACCCATGGACCGAGCCCCAGGATGCCCAGTGATGGAGGGGCTCAGGCTGGACCAGGGAAGGCTGCCGGGAGCCCCCTAACGGTCCCATCTGCCACAGCCCACCCAGACTCAGTTCTGAGCAGGAGACCCCTGTGCTGCCTCCTCTTGGGCACCTGGAATTTAACCCAACTGAACCAGTGGTCACCACGGGCACATTCCTCCCAATCGCAGACATCACAGCCATCCATGAAGGAATTTTGTCTCCCCCATCCTGGCTGTGAAATTTTTCATCCAGTGTTGTGATCTGTCTCCAGAATATATCTGGAATCCATCCATTGCCAGCACTTTGGCTCCACGCTCATCTCCTCTTGTCTAATGATAACATTCTTGTTCCCCGTCACATCCGTCCTCCACACCAGCCACAGGAATTGCCTTTTAAAGAAGGAAGTTGGAACCTGCCACTTCCCTGCTTAAAGGCTTCCAAATCCGCTGAGACTAGAATGCAAAGAGGACTTTGGAGGCTCCATCCCGTCCACCCAGTTCCATCTGCCTCCTCTCTCTGCAGATCCTTAAGTGAGCCAAACTCTGGGCCACCTCCACACTGCCCTTCTCATTTCCTGGGTCCTTCCTCCTCTGGGAGGGGCCACCTTCTTTGTGCCCCTTCAGGCTACAGCTTAAATGCCACCCCTCAAACAGGCCTCCAGGGACCACACAAGCTGGAATAGGCATCACCTTTCACACCTTCTCATTGTACCCCTTCTCTTCCTTCTGAGCACCTGCTATAACCTGATATGATTTATTCTTTGGTTCCTTGTTTTCTTGGCTCCCTCAGAGGCTCTACCTCCATGGGAGGTACCTTCGCTGCTGATGCATCATGGCCCCTGAATTTATTAACTCAGCAAGTGAATCATTTTACAATGAAATAAAGAAGAGAACTCCAGGTCGGCCATGGCCCCCACCCCTCCCAGGTCCCGTCTGGACTTGGAAGTGGGGTGTGCAGATGGGCCACACCAACTCTAGGGACCATTTTCACTGCAGGCTATGGGAACCGTGCCCAGTTATGCAGCTCACAGCCTAGGGCTGTACGGGACGGTGTTACCTGGAAGGCTCTCTGCACACACCTGTTGACATGTACTGGGAACCTAAGCGAGGAAAGCAGGAAGGAACCCCAAATGCCTCCCAGATCCTGGAGCAAGAGGTGAGGAGACACGCCATCACCATGTGGCTCTGGCTAAACCTTGCAGGCTTGTCCTGGGAAACAGCCCCAGGCCTGCCTGCTGAGTGGACACTGCCTGGCCTCAGCCTCGACAGCGAAGGGCAATAGCCCTGTGAGCTTCCCAGCAGCGGAGATGGATGTCCTAGTGTTTGCTGGGCACTGGCCCACTCCTGGCCAGTCTCCCCAGCACAGACCCAGGGACCTCCAGGCCAACCTGCCCCTGAGAGAACCAGGCACATAAAACCAAAACCAAAACCAAAACCAGAGCCCCTAATTTACACAGGAAGGGATTCTGTACTTTCAAAAGCCTTTACCCACGTGTTCCTTTAAATAGCAAAGCACCCACTCACTACCTTCAGACATTTCATTTACACAGCTCGGTCTGCAAGCAACTTTTTAAGGAGGATGCTGGGTTTGGGCCAGGGGGCATACCTCTGGAAGAAAGCTCAAAGACCCAGGAGTGAGGCTGATCTCAAAAAGTCTCAAAAAACACATTTCTTAGGACTTAGTAAATTGCTCAATAGAACATATCCATTATTAGTAGTATACGAAATAATAACTGATGAAATGTTACACCTCAAAGCCAGGGCGGGGTCATTGCTCCTGCCTTAGGCATGTTCAGCAGGTCTGTCTGCTGACTACCTCTGTTGTGAGCGACTGAGGGCTACTAGCCTCTTGTTCCTGGGTCACAGCCCACCTTACCCTGCGCGTCTACACCCAAGGAGAGAGCAAAGTGTGGGGAATCACTCGAGTGATGGCGTTTACCTTCATGAGGCTCAAGGGAGTTCACTTCCACTTCTGTGTACTCCACGTCCAAGGTCAGAGGCTCTGCCCAAAGGAAACACAGCACCATGCGGTTAGACAGAATCCCCTCAGGAGCCTCGGGTGGCACTAAAGATTTCCATTCAAATGATTAAAGTATTCTGGATTTTTTGGGGAAGCCAGCACAGGTGTATCTCCATTCTAAGTGGGAGAGAGATCTCAGGCAGGGGAGGCAGTGTTAACCTGGCACTCCCTGGAATGTGGAGGGGCCCTCCTGCCTGGGTCCCTGGTGTTTCTGCAGTGGGAGGGTTAGTAAAAGCTCAATAGTCCAGCTGGTGTGGCTCAGTGGTTGAGTATTGACCTATAAACCAGGCGATCATGGTTCGATTCCTGGTCAGGGCACATGCCTGGGTTGCGGGCTTGATCCCCCATGTGGGGAGGGCAGGAGGCAGCTGATCAATGATTCTCTCTCATCATTGATGTTTCTATCTCTCTCTCCCTCTCATTTCCTCTCTAAAATCAATAAAAATATATTAAAAAATTTTTAAGCTCAATAGATAACTGTATGTCTTACCATCACCCTTTTTTACCAGCCCCTTAACACTCCCAGCTTCTCTGAGACAGAATTGACATATACCATAAGTTGAAGGTGTCCCACCTGATGATTTGCACTGATGCTATTAAAAAACAAATAAAACAAAAACCCTCACCTCCTCCTCTACTCTCCAAGAGAAAGGAGATTCTCCTACCTTATTCACTGAGTAGTCCGTTCTGATTTAGGAAGTTCCTTTTTGGGTCTAACCCAGTTCTCTCCTACCGGAATTTAGATCACTTTCCCATTAATGACACTAGATATGTCTTTGGAGAAAGTCTCCATTTTATCAGCTGCTGACAGGATCATTAAGAGAGGTGGGGAAATACCCAGCCACAGGTATTAACAGTTTTAGTTCTTCTCCTAGGGGTCTTTTTTCATGTAAAGGTTTCTAATTTTTTAAAAAACCCACTACATTATACAATTACCTTTCTTTTCTTTTACTGCGTTTGTTTCATGGTTTCCAATATCTTCATCGTAACCTAGTTTGGAAAATAACAATTAGGATGGGTGGCAGCGGAAATTCTAGTTTTCTATACATAACTTTTTTCCTCCCTCCTTTCCCCCTCCCACTTCCCCCTCCCCCAGCAGTGTCTCTGGGTTCTGGATCCCCTCCTGGTCTCCCCGTGGCCCCATCCACCCCACTGTGTGGTCTCTCCCTAACACCCGTGGGATGGCCGCCATCCCGTGGGAGGGACACTTCTGCTTGTGAATGGCTTAAGATTCCGAACTGTTCACTCTGAGCAAGTTCATGAGAAATTAAACTTAATTGCAAAAGGGACGGCTCTGTAACCACAACCATGAAGGACACTAGGACACTAACCTCCTCCAGCTGGAGAAGGAGACCCATGAGAACAGGTTTAAAAGGCAGTGAGTGTCTCTAGGCCACCACTCAGTAGGCAAACAAATGTTTGATCTTTTTAAAAAAATTTTTTAATCTTTATTGTTGAAAGTATTACATATGT